CTGTATATGTATTTATAAATGTATATACAGACTGTATATCTGTGAAGGTGTTTACTCTGTGTTTACTCTGTGTGTGCAGGAGCCATCAGGAGCGGGTCCATCGACCTGGGCCTCGCATGTGGGTACGTTAAATCATCATTTGAACTTTGAGAAACTACATTTACATTTAAATTGTGCTTTTCCTGACAGTAAGAGTATAAAAGTGTGTGTCCTTTGTGTGTGTGTGTGTGTCAGCGTGGAGAGCATGTCGCTGCGTTCCATGGGGGATCCTGGAGATCTGAGCCCGAGGCTGACGGACTTCGACAAAGCCAGAGACTGCATCATCCCCATGGGGTGAGACCACTACAGTGTGTGTGTGTGTGTGTGTGTGTGTGTGTGTGTGTGTGTGTGTGTGTGTGTGTGTGTGTGTGTGTGTGTGTGTGTGTGTGTGTGTGTGTGTGTGTGTGTGTGTGTGTGTGTGTGTGTGTGTGTGTGTGTGTGTGGGTGTGTGTGTGTGTGTGTGTGTGTGTGTGTGTGTGTGTGTGTGTGTGTGTGTGTGTGTGTGTGTGTGTGTGTGTGTGTGTGTGTGTGGCCTAGCATTACTATACTTGTGGGGACCTAAATCTGTTTACACAGTGAGGGGAATCATTCATTTTAGGGTGAAGACTTGGTTAGTAAGGTTAAGGGTAAGGGTTAGGCATGTGTTGGTTAAGGTTAGGATAAGTCTCCAGGAAATGCATGTAAGTCAATGTAATGTCCCCTGAAGTGGTGTGTGTGTGTGTGTGTGTGTGTGTGTGTGTGTGTGTGTGTGTGTGTGTGTGTGTGTGGTGTGTGTGTGTGTGTGTGTGTGTGTGTGTGTGTGTGTGTGTGTGTGTGTGTGTGTGTGTGTGTGTGTGTGTGTGTGTGTGTGTGTGTGTGTGTGTGTGTGTGTGTGTGTGTGTGTGTGTGTGTGTGTGTGTGTGTGTGTGTGTGTGTGTGTGTGTGTGTGTGTGTGTGTGTGTGTGTGTGTGTGTGTGTGTGTGTGTGTGTGTGTGTGTGTGTGTGTGTATAACTCAGGGAAGAAGGTCACTGATATTAAATAGAAATCTAGAATAAAAATTCAAAATCCCCAGATTTGTTCGTGTAGTCCCGAATCTCAAAAATCATATTGTTCCAGAAATGTGTTTTTGAGATACCACCAACAGTTATTACAAGCTCAAAATGTGTAATAGTCCTCTTAAATGAATGTGTGTAATCACAAAATGTATTATCGCAATACCAAAAATCCTGTAATCCAAATTGTTATGTTCTTCAACTTGCCGATGTAGTTATCATGAATTTGCTGTATTCTAAAATCCCAAATTAGTTTTTTAAGGCTTTTTTGAATTATCTCCAAAATGCTCCAATCTTTAATTTTGTGATGAGCCCTAAAAGGAATTTATATAACGCAGAAAATGTCACCAAAAGTATTTACCCTAAAATGGATTCATCTTTATAGGTGTTCCTTTGTTTTTGCAGCGTCACCTCAGAGAACGTAGCAGAGAAGTTCGGGGTCTCCAGAGAGAAGCAGGACGCCTTCGCTCTCAGCTCCCAGCAGAAGTGAGTCAAAAACCTCAAAACATCAACGCATTTGAATATTGATGACAAACTTAAATGATATGTAAAAGATAAGATTTAGTCTCACTATTCCTCCTCAAGGTCCATTGCAAATTCTGTCATGATTGCGCATCACTCAGAAGTTTTACTTATTAAATTAACATACACTAATCTGCATATATATGTGGTGAAGCAAGTGTACAGACTACGTGTAAATATACGTGTGTGTGTGTATATAGAACTTTGAATATATTGATATACTAAAGTACTTATTATACCCTTATGTACCCAGTGTCTCCAGGCAGTATTAATGTGTTTATTTCTCTCCTCTCACAGAGCGGCGCGGGCTCAGAGCTCCGGTGTGTTTGAGCAGGAAATCGTCCCGGTCAGCACGAGGATTATAGACGAGGACGGGACCGAGCGAGAGCTGACGGTTGCTAAGGACGACGGGATTAGAGCGGGAACCACTCTCTCCGGACTGAACAAACTCCGAGCCGCCTTCAAACCGGACGGCAGCACCACAGCAGGTCCGTCTCACACACACGTTCAAATCTCTACAAACCCTTCCTCCATAGTGAGGGGGGATTTAGGCTTGGTCTGACTCTAAAGCCCCCTGAGACTAATGTGTAATTTGTGATATTTGGCTATATAAACAAAATTAGATGTGATATTGTTATTTAATTTGTTTGTGTTTTTTATTCCAATAATTATATATTTTTTTATATTTGATTTAACTCTCTCACATACTTTGTGTCTCAGGTAACTCCAGCCAGGTGAGTGACGGAGCAGCGGCCGTGCTGATTGGCCGGCGGTCAGCGGTGGAGGCTCTGGGTCTGCCGGTGCTCGGGGTCCTGAGGGCGAGCGCTGTGGTGGGGGTCCCTCCAGACCTGATGGGCATCGGACCGGCATACGCTATCCCTGCAGCTCTGAAGCAGGCTGGTGAGAAGTGTGTGTGTGTGTGTGTGTGTGTGTGTGTGTGTGTGTGTGTGTGTGTGTGTGTGTGTGTGTGTGTGTGTGTGTGTGTGTGTGTGTGTGTGTGTGTGTGTGTGTGTGTGTGTGTGTGGCTCAGTGATCTCCACGCGGTGGCGCTCCTCCGCCTCCTCCCTCCCGCTCCCTCCGTCTGTTCTGTGTGTGTGTGAGATATAAGATTAAATAAATAAAAAAAGATATATATTTATATCAAGATTTTAAGTTAGAATCAGCTTTACAAAGATAGAATAAAATAAAAACAATGGCGTGTGTGTGTCCTCACAAAGGTAGAGAGTAACGAAGTACATTTATTTAAATTGTGTGGTTCTTTGCTTTGAGTATTTCTACTCCATTTCTTCTCAGAGGTAAATATTTTAACTTTAATTCCACTACGTTTATTTGACCGTGACAACCACATTTACTTTACAGATTAAGTTTGATAAAGTTAATGTGATGGCTTTCAAAGTATATTCTGTTGATTATGTTCACCTTCACAAGCTGCAACATGAATGCATCAATAATTATAATGTAACATTATAATAATAAATATATTTGCGTTGTGCTCTGGTCAGACCAAATGATATACTGTAACCAGGAGAGGATGAGAGACAGCTTTATACGCGTGTTTAGCCTTAATTTGGCTGTCTTTAGTCTGTAGAGTAAAATGCATTTTAAAACATCGATCAGAGGGACATCTGCTCACAGACGTTCTCAGCTCCCAGAGGAGAAACCTTGGTCATTCTTTTTTGCTGAAATACTTCTTCTAACTTCCCGTTTCCTCCTCAGGACTGACCGTGGCTGACATCGACGTGTTTGAAATCAACGAAGCCTTCGCCAGTCAGGTGAGTTCAGACGTGAAAACTGATGGATTTCATTACCTACAGGTTTATGAGCTCCTGTCGACGGTGTTTTTTTTTGCATGTTAAGGAGATGCACATTTGGCACACTTGAACTTAAGAATGAACAAAGGTCATTATGATCTCACAGGAAGCTGTAAATCAAGGTGTTTTTTGTCATGTATATCTCCCTGTCCCTCCCTCTGCCCAGGCGGTGTACTGCGTGGAGCACCTGGGGATCCCTCTGGAGAAGGTGAACCCTAACGGGGGGGCCATCGCTCTGGGTCACCCTCTGGGCTGCACCGGGGCGCGGCAGGTGGTCACGCTGCTGCACGAGCTGCGACGCAGAGGGAAGAGGTTCGTCTGATCATCTCCTTTATCACAGACACACAAGACCTGTTTGAAGTGTGTCTAAACCAGTGTTGTGTTCTGCCGTCTGCAGAGCGTACGGAGTCGTGTCCATGTGCATCGGGACTGGGATGGGAGCGGCGGCTGTCTTTGAATACCCCGGACCGTAGGAGACAAACACTGTGAATGTAAACCCCTTTCCGACATGACATGTTATCTGCCTTCTCAAAACCAAATATGTTTTACTCGGCTAAGAGAGGCGATTAGGCGCATTGGCATTTACCACGCACATACAATCAAGATGTTTTTACAGCACGGCGACCAACAGAAATCTACACTTTACATTCTTTTGAAAGCTACAAGTTGAAAAGTCAGGAGCGCTTTCTTCCTGTAATGCCAGAGAAACAGCTTCATTTCCTCAGACAACCAAAATCATGCAGCTCTGGTAGCTTTCCAAAAAGGACTCTTTTTTTGCTTTTTGTCGCCATGCTGTTTAACATCATGATCATGTGACCCGGATTTATGGCAGTCTCACTACAGAAATATCCTCTGAGCCGTGTGCAAAATGTTTTAAACCCATCCTTTACCGTCCTGGAGCAGTGAACATTTCTCTCTGCTCATGCAACGCTTTCTGTTTTCTCTTGCCCGGATGAAAATGTTGTGAGTTGTACTGAATTAATAATAATATGTAAACAACATCCAGTCCAGATACAACTTGCTAAGCTCAAGATCCTGTGTCATGTCTGAAAGGAGCTACGAAACAATGGATCAACCTTTCAATGAATCTCCCTCTGAACTAATGCTGCTGTTCTTTAGATGTTAATACTTGTGTAGAAGATGTATTTCAAGTGCCTCTGATTCCACATGATTATCTAACCTCTCCGGTCGTTTTTCAAGAATGGATTCATCCTGCGTTTATCCTCTGATTAAAGTGGAGAAATAGTGAGCATGGGGCCGGTTTTGATGTGTTTTCTGTAAAAGTCAAAGAGAGAGACAACCTTATTTGACATAACATTAAACTGCACCATGCCAGCAGGCCTGAATCGTCTATATTCCCTACGAATGAGTGTGTAGAGAGAATTTACTGAATGTTTTTGAGGATGTAACGACTAGAGGATGTTTTGTCAGATCTAAGGACCAATCCAAAACAGTTATTTTGCTTATAAATCAATTAGAATGACTGCTTTTCTTGCTAAATGTCCAATCTCCTGAAGTGATTTTTTTTAATAACTTGTGAAAAATGTCTGCTTCAAATGGATTTTCTAAGTCACAATAAAAGATTTGCACAGGATCTGATATAGCAGGATTACGTTTTTACTAAAAGTTTGCACAGTTCCTCATCTCATACTAGTTTTCCTGTACAAACACACAAAAGGAATAAACACAGCTGTCCACTTTCTCAGTCGACATTTCTCTGTGATGTTAGGAAGAGTCTCAGTCCTACATGAGCTTCTGTTTCTTCCGGGCCTGAAACTGCTCCGTTTTGCTTTTGATGGACTTGATGAGCAGAGACAGACTGGGGTCTATTGCTTTCTTCGAGGTGGTCTCAGCGCCCTCAGAGTCATTCTCCCGTTTCTCCCCCTGTGTTTTGGGGAGGCTCTGAGCGCTGAGTTCCTCCTCGGTGCGCCGCTGCTCCTCCTCTCGCCTCCTCTGTTTCTCCACCTGGATGCTCTGCGTGGCTTTGGTCTTCTTGTAGCTGGGGTTGGAGGGGTCCAGGTTGAACAGGTGGGACGTGAACATGGCCTGGAAACGAGGGTCTTTAACGTCCACCTGGACACACAGAGGGGAAGGGAGAGGGATTAGTGTTTGTTTTATCGTGTGAAGTAATCCACTTAAATTGCTAACAAAGCACTTCTATACTAACAAAGGACTGGTTATCTGAAGCCAGTTGAGTAGCACTTGAAATGTTTTGGCTCTATGAAACCTGATGTAATTATTACATTACATTGTATACATTATTATTACAACTCCAGCGAAAGTGGATAAATATGTTTTGACATTTGGGTCCCTACATGACTTTTCAGAATGTAACTTTTACTGGAGTACTCCTCCAGCTGTCTTTCCCCAGACTACATCCCACCCCACGATGAAATCTCTAAACAGACCTGGAACTCGTCTCCCTCCAGCTTCTCCTCGCCCTTCTTCTTCAGCAGCTTCTTCTTCTTCTGCTTGCTCAGGTTCTGCTCCTCCACGATCTTGTCGTAGTTGAAGTGTTTGTGTTTCGACTCGTCATCGTCGTCCTCCATCAGCAGGGCCATCTCCGCCTGCACACACACACACACACACACACACACACGTTTAGCATCATGGCTGAGAGTGTGCTTCCTTCACCACAGATGTGACGAGCCGCTGTGGATCTGTTGGATTTGAACTCTGACCTTTTGTTTCTGCAGCTCCTCTTCCTCCTCTGGTGTGCGCTCCTCCTCCTTCTTCTTCTTCCTATTCCTCCCCTTCTGTGTCTTCTGTGTCTTCTGCTTGTCTGCGGACACATCAAACAACACTGATACCAAACCTTTCAGAGTAGATATCGGATTTTCACTAAACGATTATCCCGGCCAAATGAAGAAAACTTTACATTTGGTGGCAGAAAACTTGTTATTGTCTCTTTTTTCACAAATGTGGGGAGAATCTGAAACCTAAACTGCCAGGGTTCATACACTTTTTCACCAATGATTTTCAATGACTTCTCCATGACCTTTACCTAATTTTCCATGACCAAAAACATTACTCTTTCTCAGCGGTACCACTGAAAATGGTTTATTTTAACATGGAACAGAAAAATAAGGTCTGCATATGAAACATGTTGTGCCTATCTAAAACAAATCAAATAGCTTGCTAGCTTCTACACGCTAAAACAACTAAAATCTCTCACCAGCAAAATACCTCGTCAGTTAAATGCCATTTTACGTTTCATTACTATACGATACAGTATTTATTATCATTATAGTATTACTATGTTGGCGATTAGATAAAATATAAATTATATTTGATGCAACTTTAGTTACATTTCCATGACTTTTCCAAAACTTTGAGAAAAATATTGTTTTCCATAACTTAGCATTTTGAATTTCCATGACTTTTCCAGGTTGACCGTAAGAAACCTGAACTATACAAAAGCATACATTTATTATCCGATGGATCAGTAACATGGTATAACAATTTTATTTTATATTAAATATTATTTGTATCGACAATACGGGTATATTGTGACACCTAGTCCTAAGTATCACCTGCTTTATGCTGCTGCAACACACACAATAAAGTTCCATCTTATCTTAGAAACGAAATACATTCAAGAAGTCATCTCTTATAGCGTCCTAAGGTAATAACTAAAACTAAACTACACACACACACACACACACACACACACACACACACACACACACACACACACACACACACACACACACACACACACACACACACACACACACACACACACACACACACACACACACACACACACACACACACACACACACACACACACACACACACACACACACACACACACACACAGCTCTTTGTAAAACAACTGCAAACTACAAATCCCTTCTTTGATAGACGTATTTTTTATGTAATTTATACGTTTTGATTACCTGCAGCGTTGAGCTCCTCGGCGAAGAACGGGTCGTTGAGATCGACGTCTGGAGGAAGCTCGTCGTCACTGAGAGCCTCTTCATCCTCCTCGCCCTGAGGAGAGGAAATGTATAAAACTGATGAAGAAAACTACGATAGACACCATTAGGGGAAACTGAAATGTTGTTAGGAGTTAGTTGAGTTGAGTTCCTACAGTAGTTCTGACAGATTTGCTGCTTTCTGATTCGCCGAGTTGTGACTGAGGATTATTTCAGTCAGTGCTAGAAAAGCGACGACCATATAATGACAACTGGCAAGGAAGTTACTAAAAATAAGGGAATTGAAGCCGCCTTATTTCTAATATACTGAGAGTATCTAACCTTTCAAGGAGATTCAAGGCTTTTATCGCCATGCGTGTATCGTCATAGCTACAGTGTAGTTATGACGATGACAATCTGAGGTCACAGGCTCCTCCAACAGTGCAACACAATAACACAGATACAATAGTGCAAGTACATAAAAAAGAAATATAGGAGAAATAGTGCAGAATAGTCTATATACAAGTAATTGGAATATTGATATATATAAGTTGCAAACAGATGAATGTTCTGGATGTTTTTTCTAAAGTTCAGGTGTTTAACAGTCTTTGATTCCAGTTTTGTGTCGGCAGGTCGACTCACCTCCTTCTTCTTAGTTTTCTTCTGCTTCTTCTTCTCCTTCTTCTTCTCCAGGAAGCCCTCCCACGGCGTCAGGGTTTCCTTCCCCTCCAGTTTCTTCTTCACCAGCTGCTCCGTCGACTCCTTCAGCCCTGCACACACATCACACACACATTTAATAACCTAAATACAGCTCATAACTGCTGCTGACTGAAGAGTTTCACAACATTTAGTGTTTACTCTGACCCATACACCAATAGACCGATAGATGCATCGTTTGAGCAGGTAGAAGGATATCACACTTTAACAATTAAAGGAACATTTATTCATCAAAGCAACGCACATCTTGTTCATTGTAATACTGTGAAGCTTGCCAAACAGTACCTCCTTAAAACAGCACAACTTTCACTTCAAATGTTAATATACTGCGCATCTCATTGAGTCATTTGTAATATATATATATATTTGCTGTAAGTTAAGATAAGATGTACTTTATTGATCCCAATTTAGGATTTGTTTGCGTATTTGTGTATATTTATATTTCTTGCAGATATTTCTCTCTTTTCTTTATTTTATAAACGTTTCTAAATTAGTTTTTATTTTAAAGGTCACCTATCATGCTATTTTTAGGCAATAGCATAGGTCTCAGATATATAAACATATATTAAAAACATGTCTATGAAGTGTTTTGCTCAAAATACCAAACAGGTCACCCATTCTAGCCATGCCTCATATCCCTCTATTTCACTTCCTGTTTCAAAAGTGCTGATTTTGGGAATAAAGCTAAAAAAAATTATTGATAAAAAAAAAAAAAGGAGGGGTCTGAGCTCATGCTGGACCCGGCAGCTACTGTCTAAACTAAATGCTGCCGTGATGAAACGCCATATCATGGATTATCAAGGGTTCTCTCTGAAACAGTTTGGAGCTCAAAGGCTTTCTCTCTTGCCGGTTATACCACAAGGTGAGTTCCTTTTTACTTCCTGCTTCTTCACACACATGCTCTCCAGCACAAGTTAGCTCTGAGTGTTAGCGATGCTAATGTAAACACCGACCATATTACGTCCAAAACAGTCGGGCATTGTTTCTGATAGCAACGTTTCTGATAGCAACGTTTCTGATAGTGCCGTGGGTGTAGCCTACATTTCCGATATTACGTCATATCGGACGCAAATCTGAATCAGCTCCGTTGTAGCCCCGTTTTTAGAGATTTGGGTACGGAGGAAAAGAGAGAGGGTTTTATTTTCTGACACTGCCTGAGTTCCCTGACACACCGGGGACACATATTTATGTATAAAAGACATCAAAAAGTGCATTTCGCATGATAGGTCCCCTTTAAAATGTATTTATTGGGTCCTTTTTTACAACCCAAATCCTTTTACAGTGTTTCTATAGGCACCATTACACACCTAAGCAAGCAAAAAACAACCAAAATCAAAGAGAGAGAAATATCTGTGTCTTTTTAAAAGCAGTTCATGGTAAAATTATAAATTACTAATATTAAAAGAAGAAAGATTTCAATAAAGCTGGGTTGCAAATGAAGCGATTAATTGTCGAGCACCTTTGAGCCAAATAAGCAGTGGCGTTTTTATATGTACAAAAGTGGTGGGGCACAAAACCTTAGATGTTTATATATAAGCTTCTGCAGTGACGTGCAGTGAGGTTCATGGCTGGTGAGGCACTGGCTCTGACTCTTCAGGTTTACAAATATTATATGTTGACCTAAATCAAAATATAGTATTATTTTCAAAAGCTTTTTTAGTCTGATGCTTCGATTAATTTTAAACAGACAGTTCAACAAAAGGATACCCAAAACATTTAATTGTATCATTTAAATATTGGATTGTTCTCTCTTAGTAAGATCCCATTTTCAATACAATGGCGGTCTTACCTTGACTTGAAGATGAAGTCCATTTGCCTATCCTTCTGGACAAAAATCTCTAATACTTTTTTGTCCTCCTTATCTTCTTGTAGTTTCAAAAGTCTATCATAAATCTAATCGATAGATTTATGATTAGAAAATTATAAAAGTAGGATAGACATGTGGATATTATCCGGCTGAACAAAACGTGCATTTATCTAACAGGTACGTTTCCCACAGATCTCATTTCGAGCTATTTTCTAAAATCCTATGGAGAAATCTCATTGCTTTTTTGTCGAGGGAAACAATGCGCAGCTTACTTCCGGGTTTTAGGACGCCTCTCTCGTCTCCTCTTCACACACCACACTTTTACAGACAATCAGCTCTCTGAATTATGAGATGACGTTTGGTGGGGATGGCAGCTCAGTGCCCCTATGGTCATTATTTTGCTGCACACATTGAATAGAAAAAGACTGAGCATGCGCAGTGTAGTTTTTATAGCTTCCATTCACTTAGACAGTGAGAGAGGGGCTTGACCCACGTCACTCAAAACGGCTCAATAGGCACACTGTAGAAACTAATTAGAAGAACACAGACTATAACAGCAATGTACAGACGAATCAGATGATTAAACATGATCGTAAAATATATTTTAAGATGTCTTTTTTTTGCATTATTTGTAATTATTATTTTAATACTTTCTGCTGACACTAGGTGGGGCTGTGCCCCTAATGACCAGTCGCCACTGCAAATAAGACAACTTCTACTCTTTTCAGAAACCCCTTTAATAAACAATGCATAGGGTAAACCCAGTGGAGATAAGAAGCTCTCCTCGTACCTGGCACCCAGGTGATCTCCATCCCCATGTCCTTCTCCTCGTGAAGCTTCCTCTCCTTCTCCTGGATGCCTTTCAGCAGCTCTCTGTACTTCGAGATCTGCTCCTCGCTTTTATTCTTCTTCTTCTCTTTCTTCTCTACCACCTTCTCCGGTTTCTTCTGAGCTACAACTAGAAACAAAAAGAGACAATTATAACTTATTGGTGTTGCTTCAAATAAACAATGTTGTTGCTACAACCCACAGATTTGAATGAAGTTCCACTAAATATAAGCAGCTTTTATTTTCTGGATTCAAAACGATATATTGTGAGCGTAGTGTTGTCGAATAAAGATCTTACATCCCAGGCTCCTCCAACAATGCAACTTGCAAAATACTTGTTTAACCCTTGTGTTGTGTTCGAAAGCTGTTCATGGTGTTCGCGGGTCAATTTTGACCCATGACTTATTTCAGTCCAAAACACCAATTTTGTTTTACTATCATCCAATATTGGATATAACTAACTTATTATGCACTCATAACCGTACAATCCTGTTGTAATTTTATTTTATGGCCCAAAACACATTACACCACATATTGCACACGTGCATGTGTGTGTTCAGGTTCAAGTGTTAGTGTACATATTCTTTGAGAAAGGTGGGGTTCCCGTGGGGGGAGAGGGAGGGGAGACCAGGGGTGTTTCTCAATGTCGAGTACGCTTGCTTGGTAGCACATGTCTTCCGAGTCACTTGCTTCAGAAGTGAGGCAAGAATACTTCCTGGCATTCGGAAAACAAAGAGTGGAACAGGCGAGCAAGTGTGCGTCATATGAGAGGCCCTGCCTTACATTTTCCGCCACAGATTTGGGGAAATTGGTCCATGCGCAAAGCATTGTGGGGATTTTAAGACCGCGGAGTCTACACATGTGCAGCCTCGACATTTCTCGCTACGAAGTACGCCGGGCTCGGTAGAATTCCAAGTATGCTGGACATTGGAACAGTCCTTCGGCGGCACTCAATGACGTAGTATGCTTGAAATAGTGGCTCTGGAGCAGCCTTCCTCGACATTGAGAAACACCCCAGGTGCATGTTGCGAAAAAATTATTGTTACAGTTGATGAAGGGGGAGGGGTGTCTAAAGTCAAAGATGAATCTTGATTGGGCCAAATTTGACCAGAGTCACCCAAAAAAATTCTGCCAGGTCTCCCCAGACCCGAACACCAAATTATGCACTTTTTTTTGTAGAGACCTTCAGACTTGGCTAAAATGGTCAAAATCTGTGTTGTAGTGTTTATATAGCTGTTGTGGAGGATATCAAGAAGCCTTGTTCCGATACAAAAAACTAGAGCGTAGTTATTATATCATTTTGAAACGGGTCACGGGAGACCCGAACACAACACAAGGGGTAAAATGCGTAAAATAGCTTTAAAAATAGCGCAAAAGACACAATGGTGCAAGTTACATGCAGGAATAAGGCAAATATTCCTTTGAGGAAGGTTTTATATTTTATATTGTTGCATCGACTCAGTTGTCTTGTGTCTTATCTGTCAGAGAGAAACCATTATTTATTTTATTTTATTATCATACATTTTACCTCCTTGTGTCTATTAACCTGATAAAATCTCTTTCGACTTCACTTCGAGCAATTATATAAGCAAAGCACTTATATACTAATAAAGGACTGGCTTATCTAAAGCCAGTTGAGTAGCACTTGAAATGTTTTTGCTCTATGAAACCTGATGTACTTATATGATTCTGTTTTCTTCAAGTTTGTATTTTGTTGGTCGAACGCACTTATTGTAAGTCGCTTTGGATAAAAGCGTCAGCTAAATGCAATGTAATAAAAGTTATATTTTGCTGCGTGTACCTTTTAAAGTTCTTAAAAAAATAATCTGAGGGGAATTTCTTGTTGTTTCTTTTTAACTTGTGATGTGTCATTTTGTAAAGCACTTTGAGATGCAAGTGTTGTATGAAAAGTGCTATAAAAATCAAAACTTTATTATTATTAATAAATATATACATATAAAACCGAATGTAAAAGTCAAATACTGTACAGAGGAATAAAAACTCTATTATTATATGTTGAATTAATAGATGTGTGTTGTTGAACAAAGGTAGAAAATGGAACAATGTATTTTATTATATAAAAGCTTAAATATGTTAAAAACTGTGTTAAAACTCTGTATGCCAAAGTCATGTATCGTATAGTTTAACTCAATAGCAACATAGCAGGATGTATAAACAAGGAAATCCTTATTTGGCTTTAAACACAATAGCAACAGAGCAGGATGTATAGAAAATCCTTATTTGGGCTTTAACAGCTCTCGCTTTCCGGAACAATCGAGATGAACATTCCACCACAATGTAAACCACAGTCAAAAAAGAGGACGCTCTGACGCACTCCCTCACACAAACAGGATGTTGGCAACAGAGTATAAAGAAGACGGAGCAGCTTCAACACCCAAAACATGACAGACCTGACCACGGTGCCAATGTCATTCTATCACCCAGAAATGGACCCCCGCCTCTCCTCAGTCAGGTCATCACACTGGCTCGATCACCAAGCCAGAGACCAACTGATGAACGAGGAAAGGGCAGAGGCGCACAAATCTTCTTTGAATATCCGCCAAAAGAAACGAGAAAACACATCAAACATCAAGAGCTCTAGCCAGGGTGAGCCGCCTAGTAAACGAATCCAAGTTCAATTGGAATACACCGTTCCTCAAAGAAGAGATGACCCTGGAACCAAGGCCCCACTACCTCCCCACAAAGATGAAGAAAAGGTGAGAAAACAAGTCACCTTCAAATTCACAGACGAGACAAACAAGAAATGTGACCCAGCAGACGCAAAACGATGCGCGTCATGGGCAGGAGAGTATGTTGCCGGGGCAGAGTCCTGCTCCCGCGGGTACCCAACGGGTAACCCGCAAAAAAAGTGATTTGCGGGTGGTATTTTTCAGTCTTGAAAATCAGACCCGTGCAGGACTCTGTGCCGGGGTGCCCGTAGGAATATCACACAATGTCCCGCCAGGGTGGGTGATAGGCACATGGGGAGGCGACTACTTCATCTGCCCAAAAGAAAGGCATCCGGCATACGGGAAATGGCTGGACAAGGAAGAACCTCCCATGCATATACAAGTAAGGGATGCCTCGAAACCTCTGATGAAAAACGTTTCAGAGGAAAATTATTTCCGAAGCCAGAACAACCCGTTCGTTCTCCAAGAAAAGAAGGATTGGGATAACTGGCATCCGAATGGTGAACGAACCAAAGGAAGAGCAGTGCTGTGCACCCATAGTCCCACCCGAGGATACAATAAATGCTGCATCAGGTACTTCTCCAATCCAAAGAACTGGGAGACTCTCGCGGGATTCCGCTATGGGGAAAGAGGTTTCCCCCACTTAACTTACATCTGAGAGTATGATGAAAACCGGCACCGAGCGCTACATAACCGTTCAGCAATGATGTGGCAGAATAAAGGTGAGAAAGAATTCAACACAAGGGAGGGAATCAAAAGCCTCCAAGTGACATGTTTCAAAACCAACTCCGACAGCTCATATTTTGCTGTCACCGATGACGGATGTGGAAACACAGACCCAGAAAGAGAGGAATGCTATGGAGAAGTCCGAGACAAATCGGGAAGCGCATGGGCCGGATGGAACGAAAATGTCATAGATGGTCATGATGGAAGAGGCTACAAAGGACACCCGGGAGACGGAAAAAGACTGAACAACTTAGCAGCTCTTGAAAAAGACTTAACAAACTAGCTAACGCTAACTAGTAGTACAGCAAAACCTAGACGGATCAGATATAATATATATCCGAGCAAAACATATCTATTATTTTGTATTTCTGCCAATTAGGTTTGATGTAAAGATTAGGGTTGTAAAATTCCGGGAATTTTCAAAGATGGAAACTTTCCATGGGAATTAACGGGAATTTACAGGAATTTAAGGGAATAAACGGGAATTTTCAAAATGGAAGGTTGGCTCTTCATAGGGAACTTAAATAAAGTTGGGGAAAGTAATTTTAGCATAATCTTGAATAAAACAAACCGATGCCATTCAAGTGCACTTGAATATCCATGCCATTCCTCCATCACATGCACATAGCACACTGATTACAGCATGGCTATTGAGACCACACCCCTTTTTTTGTTCATTTTTTATGAGGAATGAGCAGTGGCGGACTGGCCATCGGGACGTTCGGGACAAATCCCGATGGGCCGGTACTAAAGTGGGCCTGTCGAATAAGTCACTAGCACCCCCCCGTCGACAATTTACTTGCGGTACTGAGGTGGGCCGGCGGAGTCCCGGACTGATTTTTAGTCCCAGTCCGCCCCTGGGAATGAGTAATATTTAACTCAACATTCATGTTTTTGTTCTTCAATGAAACAAATGATTGTTCAATAAAATAATTAAAACTTGTTCTGTTCTACTTACAAATCAATCTGTTGAAATGTCATGTTTTTTTAATTGTATAATTTTGCATGGATGTTTTCTTATGACAAAACAAAATGTTTATATTTATGCTTGGATATGACACAATCTGATTACATTATCCTCAATTCCCAGTTAGTTCCCAGTTAATTCCCATAAATCCAATATGGAATATTTCCAAAATTCCCCAGTTTAACTTCCCATGGAAATTTACCGGAAATGTTCCGCCCCTTTGCAACCCTAGCAAAGATACACCCGAGCAAAAAACTAGGTTCGATGTAAAGATACATTCGAGCAAAACTTATTATTTTGTGTGGTGTGATATAACTTGTAAAGCGTATAAATAAAACTGCCTCTTCACACTTGTGAAAGGAAACTAAGATCCTCATAGGCCTCCTGGTCAACTCTGTTGCAGAAAAAAGTAAGTCACATTGGAGGTCGCCAGGATCGTTTGATCTGAAATACGGCGGCAGTGCTTTACGGGTATTAAATCCCATAGGTTTCAGAGGTGTGTTCATTAACAGGTCTGTGACATCTAAAGGGATAAACTAACAGGTAAAGATACATAATGTAAATTGATTAATGGAGGTAGTATAGAAAGAAGGGAGTTTATGGGTACCTCGAGGTGGTGTGTGAGGACACACCTTTTATGCCCCGACTGAGTAAAAACTGTATCAATCAGCAGTGTATCAGAGGTGAGACTTCACAAGAGTTTAACAGTCTAACGGCCCGTCTACACTACAGGCATCAAAAAATCTTGATGCTGGGCGTGTCTGAAGCTTGGCGATTTTTTGCGAGCAACGCGACCAACAACCAATCACATGAATCTCCCGCCCCCGACATACAAAGCAATAGCAATGTTAAAACGAAGTAAACGGGCGGTTTTGGCGCAGTGGTCATCAGATCAAGGGGCGTTGGTGAACTCCAGTTCGAATCCCGCCTCGGCCGCCACTGCGTCAGGCCGTTGTGTCCTTGGGCAAGACACTCTACCCGCATTTGCTCCTGTGGGTAATGTCCGGAGTAATGACTCTTACAGGTCTAATATGTGTAATGTGTACTTGTAAAGCGCTTTGAGCACCTGTAAAAGCGCTCTAATAAATTTTTTTAATGCATTATTATTATTATTATTATTATTATTATTATTATAATAAACTGGATATAAAATCCCCAAACAGGCGAAAACCTACCAGTTTCACCCACTGTCTCTGCCACCTCCCTCCATGCCTCGCTCCTCCGGTTTGTATCCCGTTAATAGTTCTGGTCGGAAAGAACCGGGTGATTTGCTACCGTAATTTCTCGTTTGGAATATGAGGAAATGAACTGCGGTCTGGCTCTCCCAGCTTGCACGCGGTTTGATTGGCTAGCGCTTGTACTGGCGGGATTTGCATAAACGGGATTTGATTGGCTGATGCCAGCTTCGAAAGCATCGGGAGCATCAAAAGTTAAACATTGCTCAACTTTTGATGCTCACGATGCTTGCAAAGCCATGCTCCGCTCCCCACAATGCAGTTCGGCGAAGATTCAAAATCTTCTACGTCACCCCATTCAAGTGAATGGGCGAAGCGTTGAAAGCATTTTTCGATGCCTGTAGTGTAGACGGGCCGTTATGCTTCAGGGACAAAAATGATCTCTGAGTTTCCTGCACATGAATGCGTCTTTAGTTGCTGTCTCACCCTCTTCTGCTGCCGAGTCATCGTCTTCACTCTCCGGCTCTCCAAACACAAACCCTCCTTCCTCCTCCTCTTCCTCACTGGAGGAGGCCAGGTAAGCTTTAAAGTCCATGGCCAGCAGCTCGTCTTTGTTGAAGTTTCTCTCCAGAGCCGTCACTCGCTCGTTGTCCGTCTCGTCCCACGTCAGCTGCACCTGAAGGTTGAACACATGTGACGTTAACACTGAAAGCCCTGACGATTATGTTGAAATATCTGTGCACAAACACTTACTTTACTATACGAAAGTCAGGAAGATAGTAGTTGAAAAACCCATTTAAAAAAGGTATGCATCAAATTAAAACCAAGACAGTTTTAAGAGTTTCTCAATATTTTACATTACAATTAATCGCTCTGTTGCCCTTTCCTTCTGACTTCTCCATGCAGTATTTTCTACTACAGTAACTCTGAGTCTTCTTACCTTTGACGTAGCGTTGGCGGAGGAGGTGAAGACTTTGGGAGTGTACACTGCGAGGTTCACATCCGTCGCCACGTCTTTGGGCTCATCGTCAAACGTTACTCCCTCAGGAATAAACCTAAAAGGGTTAGAACAATATCACTGGTCACCGGCTTGATCTTCACTATCAGGATCCATGTATTTATGATCCTCTCCAGAATGGAAGTAGTCATCACATACAGAGCATCAACTAGTTCCTGAACAGTGTCCTTCACATGCTGATATCCAAGAGAGGGAATTACACAGTCACAAGATGGAGGAATATAAAGCAGTATTCAATGTTTACTTCAGATTAGCTCCACGTCAGAAATGAGCATGCTTGTCATATGTCTATCTCCATAGAGGCTGAATCATCATGTTAATCACATAGCTATCATATGCCTCAAACAGTCCTGATGCTCTTCTCGGTAATCACACATCCTGTCATGTTCACAGCTGCAGTTGGGATACCTTTGTTATCATGTGACTCTCATATTAGAAGAGGACTTTCAGTATTTTCCCAACAAAATCATTGTTTTTTCAGCAAGTTAGATCTGAACTGTTCCACCTCTTCTCACCGTAGGTCCAGCACTGAGCAGCTGCTCTCGTACTCGTAGCCGTCGCACTCCTCGTAGATCTTTGCAGCGGTGTCCGTAGTATCACACTGAACAACAGCGTAGAAATACTTCAGCCGCTTGAACTGGTAATCACGCATCTTCTCTCTGTAACCTCTGAGAGAGGACACACACACACACACACACACACACACACACTTATCAGATACAGAGGAAGGAAACTCAAGCCTGTAGAAGCAGAGTTTGAATTTATGCCACAAGTTAACCTGATTTCATGGAGAAAGGAGAAACTCCATCGTCACACATTAACATTTGATATAAGATTGGTGTGAAGCAAAATATTTAAAAAAAGGTGGAATCATTATAAAAACAAAACCAATCATACACACACACCAATATCACTTTAGTTATGGCTTTAGTTAAGGAACTTGATTGGCCTGTTACCTTCATATTAATTGTCTTGCTCTCCCGTTACTTTGACTCTACAACTCTATCACTTCATATAAAGTTATTTTTGACATTTTTGTTATGGTGTATTTAAAGCATAGTTAAAGGTGGGGTAGGTAAGTTTGAGAAACCGGCTCGAGGATCTGTGGAAGCCGTAGTACTGTAAAAAGCACGACCAATCCGTTTAGCCGTCAGCCTTCCATCTCGTGCACGCACAAATGTATCTCGTGCCGTCATTGGGCGTGCATTGCGCGTTCATGTGTGTTGGAGGAGGTGCTCTGTAAGGAAGTCTGAAGGAAAGGGCGGATTCTTTTCGGCTGTGTACTTAAAATCCATAAAAAAATGTCATCTGTTGAAGCCATAATACTGTAAAAAGCACGACCAATCCGTTTAGCCGGCCCAGCTAAACGGATTGGTCGTGCTTTTTACAGTACTACGGCTATTGGATTGCCGCCCTGTCTGTCAGCCTTCCATCTTGTGCACGCACAAATGTATCTCGTGCCGTCATTGGGCGTGCCGTCAATGGGCGTGCCATCATTGGGCGTGCCGTCATTGGGCCTGCATTGCAGCTGCAGCAGTACTTCAATGACTCGCCAGCAACAGGCGGCCACTTTCACCAGTCTGCTGACGTCATGTGCGCGTTCATGTGTGTTGGAGGAGGTGCTCTGTAAGGAAGTCTGAAGGAAGGGGCGGATTCTTTTCAGCTGTGTACTTTCAAATGTTAGTGCACTCGAGCCGGTTTCTGAAACTTACCTACCCCACCTTTAAGTGCATACAATACACACAAAAACAAAAACAAATCAAGACCATACATATATCAAAGCTAACATAATCTGAATTATACCTATTAATCGCTGTACTTTCCATTGGTGTAAAGTAACTCGACTACATATTCTCCTAGTTTCAGTTACTAGTTACTTTTGAGATTGAGATGATGAGCTAATACAAAATATTAATCAAATATTGAGGTATAATTATAGGTTAAAATATCCAGCAGCAGAATATAAAGCAATTCAAGTTAGCTCTACCTTTCTCATTACACCAAGAGGAACGTGGGAGTTATGATTTGTGTGAGCTGACTGATTAAAATATATGATTTATATTAATGTAAGTAAGTCTCAGCGATAAACCGCGCTGTGTGTTACCTCTCCTCCTCGTTGTCGTCCTCCGAGTCGTCGGGAAGAGCTTTGAGCTCCATCGGTCCCTGCGTCTCCTCGCCCTTCAGACGCTGCTTCCCGAACTCTGACGGGAAGATCTACAATAAAACCCATAATGCATTGCTGTTTAATGCTCCTACGGACAACATTCACCTGTTTAAAAAGTGCCCTTATTTAGACTTTATCCACACCAGACCGCTTTGAGAAGATGCTATCTGTAACGGTCTTCATTTTCTCTGTTATTCATTTGTTCCACTCTGTATTTTGGTTCCTATCTTTAATGTGCAACGCTAATAGAGGCGGAACTAATCTGCGGTGTTGTATGCGTTACACCTGTTTTATTAATCGCTGTACTTGGCAATCGCAACTCCAGAGCCACGCAGTGATCTAGTGATCTTTCTTGATGTTAAAAGAAAACTAAAGGAAAAAGATGCAGCCTAAGTGATCTGCCCCTCTAGGTGACTAGCAGCCTACGAGGTAAGTTTTTGCTGGTTGTTTGTGCAATTGTGTGTGGTTGAGCTGCATGTAATGTGTGTGTATGCTATGTGTTAGCTTGTGCTACATGCTATGTGTTAGCTTGTGCTACATGCTATGTGTTAGCTTGTGCTACATGCTATGTGTTAGCTTGTGCTACATGCTGTGTGTTAGCTTGTGCTACATGCTGTGTGTTAGCTTGTGCTACATGCTGTGTGTTAGCTTGTGCTACATGCTGTGTGTTAGCTTGTGATACATGCTATGTGTTAGCTTGTGATACATGCTATGTGTTAGCTTGTGCTACATGCTATGTGTTAGCTTGTGCTACATGCTATGTGTTAGCTTGTGCTACATGCTATGTGTTAGCTTGTGCTACATGCTATGTGTTAGCTTGTGCTACATGCTGTGTGTTAGCTTGTGATACATGCTGTGTGTTAGCTTGTGCTACATGCTGTGTGTTAGCTTGTGATACATGCTATGTGTTAGCTTGTGATACATGCTATGTGTTAGCTTGTGCTACATGCTGTGTGTTAGCTTGTGATACATGCTATGTGTTAGCTTGTGATACATGCTATGTGTTAGCTTGTGCTACATGCTGTGTGTTAGCTTGTGCTACATGCTGTGTGTTAGCTTGTGATACATGCTATGTGTTAGCTTGTGATACATGCTATGTGTTAGCTTGTGATACATGCTATGTGTTAGCTTGTGCTACATGCTGTGTGTTAGCTTGTGCTACATGCTGTGTGTGATATGCGTGCCGTTTATTGTGTAAGTTATCGGCATTAATAGTGATGACATATGCAAATATATTACATATTTACATCCGGCAGTGGCTCAGTCCGTAGGGGCTTGGACTGGGAGCTGTTGGGTCGCCGGTTCAAGTCCCTGACCAGACCTAAAATATGGTGTGTGGACTGCTACTTGGAGAGGTCCCAGTTCACCTCCTGCCCTGCCGTGGTGCCCTTGAGCAAGCTACCGGAGATCCCCCTTCCCCCCCACTCCCATTGCTCCCCGGGCGCTGTGCACTAGCTGCCCACTGCTCCTAGTACTAGACTCCTGGTACTAGGATGGATTAAATGCAGAGAACACATTTCACTGTGTGTGCTGTGTGCCCTGCATGTGTGACCATTAAAGAGGGGTTTCATCCCTCCCAATTCTATTCTATATTTATTTATTGTTCACCTTTTATATTTTTCTGTATATATATATACATATATATATATCACACTTTATTGTACATCTAGTTTGGCTTATAAACGGTGTTACCTTGACAGAGAGCACGGCGCCTCCTTTAGGGAGGAAGGAGTTGAACAGAGCCAGCAGGTCTTTGGCTTTCATCCGATCCCAGTCCATGTTGCAGACGCCCAGCCGCGCAGAAACCTGACACACACACATTCATAGAAAACACACACAGTGAATGAGTGTTAACACCTCGGCATCACTAGGGAGATGTTCAGCTTTTTATGTTTTCAGATGTGTTTGTTATAGCAGTGTTAATGTAAAAGGTGTACATGTTGGAAGGGTGTGAGTTTTTTTAAGTTGAACTTCAGCTCCAATATTAAGTCTATACCAAGCTGTGTCGCCAAATTACAGACACTCACATGGAGACAGACAATTAATGCTTTTTTCCTAGTTTCCTGCACACAATGAAATAAAACTAATGGAAATCAATGTTCTTGCATTGACATATCCACGTCTTAAAAAAAATCATTTTTGTATTTAGTTTACAGAAAGTATTGCACTTTTTTGTGTTTTTTAAAAATAAAATGATAAACAGAAATACAGCTGTTGCATTATGTAGACAAAATGCTATGTAAAGGTTAAAATAATAACACATTTTATTATATTTGGTAGTGATAATCGAGACTAAAGTGGTTAAAAGTTTTGATATGGGATGTGCCGTTTTTAAATGAAGACACTGCAGTGAGAGTATTTTGCATGATGACAATAAACATATATCCTTTTTTAAACGTGAGACAGAAGAGTTCCCCCCAGCAGCCCCTAACCCCCCCCTCACCTCGTCGTTCCTCAGAGCGTCTTTAGCGAGCTCGCCCCAGTCGTGTTCGATCTCCTCTTCCTCTTTCTTCAGGATGGCGTTCACATACTCTTCATCATCTTCATCAGAGCTGGTCTCTACGTTTCCTTTTCCTCGGGCCAGATCCGGCTCGCTGTCGCTGTCTGAATCCAAACCGGACTCCTCCTCATCGGATCCGCTCGCAACATCACTCCCCTCTTCATCATCATCATCATCATCATCATCGTCATCCTCCTCACTTCCGTCTGTGAAGCTGTCTCCCAGATCAACGTCTCCCTTCTTTGCAGTTTCCGGCTCCTCATCTTGCTCTTCAACGTCTGAAGGAAATAATAATAAAAAGGGTCATAAATATGCTGACCTTTCAGTATCTGAGGAAGTGGCTTCAAGAATGTCTGATCAGTTCTCTGCGCAGATACTAAAACAACAACAATGTTATTATTAATGCTTAATATGTTGATGATGTACAAATAAAACATTATACAGAAACAAATTAGGTTGTAATGCTGAATCCTCAACAGACCCTCATGGACACAACTGAAACATGTTGCACCACAAAAACATACACTTTGGCCCAATCCCAAACCACCAAGTGCTGTTCCAAACCAACGAGTGTGGAGGGGGAGTGGGCTATCAAGCCCTCAAACAGCGAGTCTGCATCGGTGCTGACTTCACGTGCTGCCCTACCTGACCGGACTCAATGCTGTGTGTGTCCGTCAGGAAACACGCTGTTTGTAGGGCGTGGTTTGGGATTGGGCCATTATTTCCCCAGGCGTTCAATCTAGAGAGGTCTGGCTTCAATATTAGAGTTTTTGTTCTGGTTTTCCAAAAAATTACAATTCCTGGCAAAAGAACGCTCATGGACACTGCCCAAAAGAATGGGCATAACTAATGAACAGAATCAGTTAGAATCTTCTAATCAGTTCTGATACAATGATAATAAATGTGTGCAAATGTCTGTGTTGAATGTTTCTTTTAATGTTATGGTTAGCAGTTCTTTTTAATGAAATAAGTAAAAGATTCAAGCTCCGTTTTTTATTTATTTATGGACAAATACCCCCTATTATAGTGTGTATAAGTCTCGAATGAGTGACATATATCATTAGCTGAGGTTGTGCTGATTTCTGGGATGTGTAACACCTGATTATACTGCAAAGAAATTACAATTTTATAGCCAAAACACAAACATATACAAAAACGGAAATGTCCTATGTGGGTCTCAGGGGGTTAATAGTATCTGTGCTTGTTTTGCTCCGCCTGAATGGGTGAATATCTACTCTTCTATGACTCTGACCCTTCGTTCAGGCGGCGGACCAACAATGTTATTATTGATGTCTAATATGTTGATACACAAATAAAACATTATACAGAAATAGGGCTGAACGATTAATCGATTTTAAATCGAAACCATGATTTTAAATGATGCGATTATTAAATCGCAAAGCCTGCGATCTTTTTTAACATTTTTTTCTTCTTGTGTCTCAGTCATCCACATCAATCAGAAGTGCTGTGCTCCACATGTACCAGCCATTGTTAACCAATCAGAAGTGGCCCATGATAGAAGGTGATAGACAGATTGATCCAATCACCTGCCAAGTATTTTTGCAATACTTTTCCAAATGGCTTCCAATGGAGCTCTCCTCGATGGTTTGGTGAAACAAACCATCTGAGTCAGGTTAGTAATGCTCCATCACATGTTTCTATTACAGGGTGAATCTTAAACTGAAGCTTGACTTTAAAGCAACCCAACGGAAGTTTCATGTAAGTTTAGTTCTTTCACTCGTAGCTCGGGCTGCGGGGGTGCTAGAGACGGGAGTACGTTGATACGACCTTCCTAGTCGGAGATATGGCCGCATTTTACAATAAACTTCCGTTGGGTAGCTTAAAAACAAATATCGCAATTCGAATCGCAATCGCAATATTTATCAGAAAAATCGCAATTACATTTTTTCCCAAAATCGTGCAGCCCTATTCAGAAACAAATTAAGTTGTAATGTTGAATCTGGGCTCGTTGCCTGCATCATCCAACAGACCCTTATGGACACAATTGAAACCTGTTGCACCACAACATCATATATTGTATTAAAGGTGGGGTAGGTAAGTTTCAGAAACCGGCTCGAGTGCGCTAACATTTGAAAGTACACAGCCGAAAAGAATCCGCCCCTTCCTTCAGACTTCCTTACAGAGCACCTCCTCCAACACACATGAACGCGCACATGACGTCAGCAGACTGGTGAAAGTGGCCGCCTGTTGCTGGTGAGTCATTGAAGTACTGCTGCAATGCACGCCCAATGACGGCACGCCCAATGAGGGCACGAGATACATTTGTGCGTGCACGAGATGGAAGGCTGACAGATAGGGCAGCAATCTGTACTTTTTACAGTATTACGGGTTCCACAGAAGACATTTTTTTATGGATTTTTTGTCAAAGCACTTAAGATATTCATTGCTATCGGGATGTTAAGAGCATTCCATGGAATATAACAAAAAGTGTATCTCGAGCCGGTTTCTCAAACTTACCTACCCCACCTTTAAAGGTAGGGTAGGTAAGATTGGAGAAACCAGCTCGAGTGCGCTAGAATTTACACAACCGGAAAAAAATCTGCCTCTTCCTTCAGACTTCCTTACAGAGCCCCTCCTCCATCACACACCAACGTGCACATGACCAATGAGGGCACGAGATAAGTTTGTGCACAGATGGAAGGCTGACAGTCAGGTAGGCCATCCAGTTACTTTAGCCGGGCCGGCTCAGATGATTGGTCGTGCTTTTTACAGTACTACGGCTCCTAGGGATGCCAGAAACTGACCATGATCAAAATCGAAAATCGGACAGCCCTGGCGAATAATAATCGATTATTCGACGCCCCCCTCCCCCCCCCGCAGGAGAAAAAAAAAAAGGGTTGCTGTTAACGTCGGTCTGTATAACGGAATTGTGCCAAAACTACGCCAACCGGCAGCGGAGGGAGACTCCCCCCCCCTTCACTGGAGAACTGCGCTAAAACAGCTGATCACAACGTTCACACTCTGTGGTCACGAAGTACTCCACGCTTCCTCCAAGTTTACAGTAAAACAAACTGGTGGTGTGACCAATGGCCATTTACAATTATTAATACTATTACTATTATTAGCATTAGTCTATATTTTGGTTGAAACTAAGCCAGAAAAAAGCAAAACATAAATAATAATAAAAAATATATAAATGAAATCGAATTTTTAAAATCATTTTAGATTATGGAGACCGTAACGAATATTCGAATAATCGCTGGCCTCCCTAACGGCTTCCACAGATGACATTTTTGTTATGTATTTATTGTCAAAGCATTTCATGTATTAATTGCTATCGGGATGTTAAGAGCATTCCATGGAATATAACAAAAAGTGTTTCTGAAGTGAATTACCTACCCCACCTTTAACCAGGCTTTCAATCTAAAGCTCTTGCTTCAATTTTATAGTTTTTTTTTGTTGGTTTCCTCCTGCATGAAATCTATTGAAATGCATGCACATTTTCACACGAGCTACCTCTCTTAGTATCTGCACATCTTTCCCCTTTTCATATCAATACTGCACATATTTTATTGTTTTACTCTGAGTATGTTGTCATAGAATACTGTACATAGATTTTTGGGATATCCAGATTAAATGTAAATTATTTTCTATATCTTAACATATAATAGTTGTTTTTTTAAATCTTTTTTTTGTTGTTTTTCTTACTTTTTCTCTTCTTTACCTGTGTTTATGTTTATGTTATGGATTTTATTCACCTTACACACCAAGGCAAATTCCTTGTATGTGTAAACCTACTTCTTATCTATTAAGTTGAATCTGTGCTCGTTTCCTCAGCCTGGATCAGTGAATATGAGCCTCAGAGACATCTACTCACCCTGTTCTATGACTCTGACCCCTCGTTCAGGCGGCGGTCCTTTAGCTTTAACGTCTTTGCTCTTCACTGCTTTTCCTTTCTTCACTTCTTTCTCCACCTTCACCAGCTTCTCCTTCACTTCTTTCTTCTTCTTGCGCTCTGCCACCTTCTTGCTCTTCACACCCTCCTCATCGTCGTCTTCGTCCTCTGAGCTGGAGACGTTGTAGAAGCGCTTCAGGTCCTCGGTGGAGGTTTGGTTGATGGGTCGGCCTCTCTTGTCCACCGTGTATTTCTCCGTGAAGCGCTTGTCGTGAAACATGGACTGGAAGCGCTTGTCGATCTTGATCTTGCGTTCTCTCTCGGGCATCTCCCAAAACCTGGGGTCCTTCTGAACCCGGAGGAAACGCTCATCGCCGCCCTTCTTATTGGACGACATGGTGGCAAACTGAACGTGTCACCTGACCAATAGAGAAAGGACATATTGTTGGATTAGTCACATGGACAACAAGCACTACGCTTCTTTCTTATATCATGTGTATGAGCGTCTTTATCACAGAAGATTGTGTGTATTTAGTGCACCAAACGTTCAAGCTTATGATTATATAGCCGTACATTTAAGATGTTAGCATGTTTTAATACACATATCCTGAAGAGGTTATTGGAAAAAAGTATTGATTTAAGTAATGGTGAAAACTAGACAACAGTGATTCAAGAACTGAAAATAAATATATGTATGTTTCTATAAACCTTGTTATAACACAAGCTAGCTAGTATTGATTATCCTCTACAAACGGTTAATGTACTGAAGATTATTGAGACAATCAATTAACTGTTTAGGTCACTCCAGAACAACGTTTCTTAAACCTATGTTTTGTACTGTTTTTAGAATTTGGTTTGGAAATAATTAAGCAGTCTTGCTTGTCACATGAGTTTTAAACACCCCTCTTTTACATTTAACAAAATAAACTATTACTTGAAGACAATAAGGTGGGGGTATATTCAGATTAACCTAAATAAAAGTAGCAATACATCAGTGTAAAGTTTGTTTGTTAGAGGTGAAATCCTGCATTCAAATATACTTTAAATAACTCAAGGTTCTTTATTGCCAAACTAACATAGCTACAGAGTAATTATGTCGTTGAAAATCTTAGAAACTGAAGTAAGAGTACTTGTTTTGCAGAATGACCCAAATCAGCATCACATACAGTGGGGCAAAAAAGTATTTAGTCAGCCACCAATTGTGCAAGTTCTCCCACTTAAAAAGATGAGAGGTCTGTAATTTTCATTCTAGGTATACACTCAACTATGAGAGACAGAATGGGGGGAAAGAATCCAGGAAATCACATTGTCTGATTTTTAAAGAATTTATTTGCAAATTATGGTGGAAAATAAGTATTTGGTCAATAACAAAAGTTCATCTCAATACTTTGTTATATACCCTTTGTTGGCAATGACAGAGGTCAAACGTTTTCTGTATGTCTTCACAAGGTTTTCACACACTGTTGCTGGTATGTTGGCCCATTCCTCCATGCAGATCTCCTCTAGAGCAGTGATGTGTTGGGGCTGTTGCTGGGCAACACAGACTTTCAACTCCCTCCAAAGATGTTCTATGGGGTTGAGATCTGGAGACTGGCTAGGTCACTCCAGGACCTTGAAATGCTTCTTACGAAGCCACTCCTTCGTTGCCCGGACGGTGTGTTTGGGATCATTGTCATGCTGAAAGACCCAGCCACGTTTCATCTTCAATGCCCTTGCTGATGGAAGGAGGTTGTCACTCAAAATCTCACGATACATGGCCCCATTCATTCTTTCCTTTACACGGATCAGTCGTCCCTTTGCAGAAAAACAGCCCCAAAGCATGATGTTTCCACCCCCATGTTTCACAGTAGGTGTTCTTTGGATGCAACTCAGCATTCTTTCTCCTCCAAACACGTCTAGTTGAGTTTTTACCAAAAAGTTCTATTTTGGTTTCATCTGACCATATGACATTCTCCCAATCCTCTTCTGGATCAACTAAATGCTCTCTAGCAAACTTCAGACGGGCCTGGACATGTACTGGCTTACGCAGGGGGACACGTCTGGCACTGCAGGATTTGAGTCCCTGGCGGCGTAGTGTGTTACTGATGGTAGCCTTTGTTACTTTGGTCCCAGCTCTCTGCAGGTCATTGACTAGGTCCCCCCGTGTGGTTCTGGGATTTTTGCTCACCGTTCTTGTGATCATTTTGACCCCACGGGGTGAGATCTTGCGTGGATCCCCAGATCGAGGGAGATTATCAGTGGTCTTGTATGTCTTCCATTTTCTAATAATTGCTCCCACAGTTGATTTCTTCACACCAAGCTGCTTACCTATTGCAGATTCAGTCTTCCAAGCCTGGTGCAGGTCTACAATTTTGTTTCTGGTGTCCTTTGACAGCTCTTTGGTCTTGGCCATAGTGGAGTTTGGAGTGTGACTGTTTGAGGTTGTGGACAGGTGTCTTTTATACTGATAACGAGTTCAAACAGGTGCCATTAATACAGTTAACGAGTGGAGGACAGAGTAGGCTCTTAAAGAAGAAGTTACAGGTCTGTGAGAGCCAGAAATCTTGTTTGTTTGTAGGTGACCAAATACTTATTTTACCGAGGAATTTACCAATGTATTCGTTAAAAATCCTACAATGTGATTTCCTGGATTCTTTCCCCCCATTCTGTCTCTCATAGTTGAAGTATACCTAGGATGAAAATTACAGGCCTCTCTCATCTTTTTAAGTGGGAGAACGTGCACAATTGGTGGCTGACTAAATACTTTTTTGCCCCACTGTATAATAGTATGCATGCAACACTAGTAAAGAACACATTCATTACTAAAGTGTAGTACTTAAGTAAATGTATTTAAACCACTTATAATGGTTAAAATAGTTAGGTATTACTGAAGCTGTGACTGGATCACTAAGTGAGCATGTAATGAACAACATAAACCCAGTCTTTTCACTGTGAGAAATATAGAGCCGTTTTGACTTCTGCTATCTAAAAATGAAATGTTAAAACTGAGTTAAATGCATGGTTAAATGTCAGAAATCCTGCGCTTTGCTTCAGTTTCAGTCAACATGTAAACAATATGTCCGAAATAGTGAATAGGAACAGTAACGGCGGGAAAACCAGACAGCAGCTGACAAATGCACACAACACTGAGCATGTATATGTAAACATATAATGAGAAATGTGTTTGAAACATCGTTTAAAAATAACAATAATCACAAAACTGTAGCCATACCTCTCTGGTCTTCCACTACACGTGTTTTCCCAGCATGCACCTCTTCCGTGACCTTTCTATGTTCCCGCCCCTTTGTTTGTAAGGAAAGCGAAGTGGGACAAAGGAGAGAAAACGCGCACGGAGAAATTCGATGGTTAAACACTTTAAAGCTAAAAGAAATAACAGAAAAATAAATCTCTATACATTTTACGTTGAGTTATTCAATTAGAAAAATATGTATTATATTTTCTTGTTCCAGCTTTCCCTATATAATGATGTTTGATTCATGTAATTGTAATTTAAAATACAGTACTTGGTCTTCTTGGAACCTGTCGACTTTTTCACTATTTTCTGCCATTTGATGGACTAAGGAATCACTCAAAAACATATAGTTGTAGTATATAGTAGTATATATCAAGTGCTTTACAAAGACATATGTACTCACATTTGACATACATTAATATCAGCATACATTTTAGTCAATTTCTTTAGTCCATTTCCAGTCAGTGAATCCAGTTCCATATTTTCAGTTGAACCCATTATAATCCAGCTCCACAGTTTCCCTCCTCCCCTCCTGAGGTCACGGTGTGGAGGACAGCAGGAAATCAGTTGTTGTACAATGCTCTGATGTTCAGAAGATTTCTGCTTTAATTCTCGCTTTTAACCGGCACCATGAGCACCGGAGTGTGCCTCAGACTCCTCCAGACAGCTGGCTCTCCTTCCGCTGCCTCCTGCCGCAGATGGAGCCTGATCTCCGGCTGCAGAGGGATGTCTTCTGCGGGCAGAGGCTCCATGAATGTGTTCAACAGGGAGATGAAGAGGAGGCAGAAGAACTGGGCAGCTTCTCTGCGGGAAGGAAACCAGTACGATTACCTGAGGGACGAGGTAGGAGTCACAGAAATATTAAAAGTGCATATTGTTAGCTGTAATTGGCCCTTTAATAGTGTATATGTGACAGATATAAGATGGGTTGTTGTCGCATTACATTTTTGAATTTGTATATTACATTTATTTTCGATGTATTTATTTTTATTTTACAATATGTGTTACAAAACCTTTTTATAATCAGAAAAGAGCCAAAGACAGCTTAATGTTACCTAAGAAGCATGCATACAATTTACAAAATACACATCTGTAACAGTTTTAAAGATATGCATATATTTTACTTTTTAGTTCTGTTGTATTTACTATTTTGAGATGATTATATCCTATGTTTACGTTTATTTATTTCCTACTATATTTCATTGTCACACTGTGTGCAATCATGCCTTGTTTACATGCTGCTGTGACGACAACAATTCTCAAATTGGGATCAATAAAGTATATCATATATTATATTAATACTGCATTTACGTGCTTTAAGTTGGTAAAAGTCACTGTCTTGGTGTCTTCTCCACCAGGATGCTTCTTAGAGGGACATATAGTGTAGGGATCGACCGATATGGCTTTTTCAAAGCCGATACCGATTATTAGTAATCAAGGAGACCGATAACCGATATTTGGAACCGATATACATTTGCAGTAAAATCAGAAGATCTTAGTGTCAAAAAGTAGAAGAACACAAACTCCAACACAACTTCTTTGAAATGCATTTAAGCATATATTATGTTTAATAAACTTTTAAACATCTTACAACTGGTTTCCTCTCTGTCCTTTTCTTTAGTGCAGCCATCTGCAATGAGTTAGAGAGAGAGACAAGAAGTGGGGCTGCAGGCTGAGATGCTTAACTAACAATAATGATTAATTTATTACATCAAAACAATGCCTGTCTATCTAGCATAACATCCCAATAAGCTGCAACTGCAAAACACTACTGCTAGCTAATGTTTTGCAAACTATTAAAAGTGAGGCTATTACAGTAGACCTAACGTTAGTCTAGTAGCCTCACTTCTAATATTTTGCGAAACATTTGCTAGATACATGTTGGCTAGCTAATGAGCTTCACATATCAACCTGAAAAACTGCGAGGCTCCACTCGCAGCCCAATCCCCCCCCACCCCCCACCCCCCACAGTTTTATCCCCGAGTTTATTTGATTAAAAAAAAAGACCGATAATCGGTCAAATGCGGATTATCGGCCCCGATATTTTCGGCCTGGCCGATCGGTCGACCCCTAATATAGTGTCTGAATCTGACAGACTTGGTTGCGAGATACTAACTAGAATGAAATGAATGAATACTCGTGAATAGATTTTTCCTATTTTGTACCCGTGATCCTTTGATCCCTTGTAAACAAAGTAAGTAAGTAAATATGTCAAACATGCATTCATTTGTAAAATATATATGTCATTATTATGGGAATTTAAAAAATCTTCACACCCAACTTAGATCCCAATGTGTACAAACTTTAACATATTTCTAATCAAACACACCATTTCAATAAAGTGATCTACTGTATGGCACTATATACTGTACTGTATTGAGGTTTTTATGGACTAAATGAGTCCTTGCTAATGTTGGGAAATCTTGAGAAAAATACAAATCTGCAAGAAACATTTGAATTACTGTTTCAAGTTTATTTATATATTATAAATATGATTACATAGTATTTCATTTCAGCAACAAGGCAATATAAAGCACTTTACATTAGAGATGGACTTTTTATTAATCCCCGTGGGGAAATTGTTTCTTTGCATTTGACCCATCCTAGTGTTAGGAGCAGTGTGCTGCCATTTTGAACGGCGCCCGGGGAGCAGTGTAGGGAACGGTGCTTTGCTCAGGGACACCTCGGTAGCACTTGGTCTTGCCGGGACTTGAACTGGTGACCTTCCAGTTGCCAAGCCAAGTCCCTATCGACTTCGCCACCACCGCCATTAACCATCAAAAGAGTTCAAATGCAAAGAAACTCATTATAAAAGCACATTTAAATACGATAAGAAGCTGTCATTAAATACAAATTGAATCAGTGACTCTTTTGCCCTTTCTCCCTGCAGGTTGGCGGTCGAGTGGCTGATCGAGTGTACGACATTGCGAGGTGGGTTTATTCTGGGACAGATTATTTCTTATCAAACACACACTTCCTACTGTAAGAAATTAAAATCAATATATTATGTGAATATTAAATAAATACACCGTTTTATTTTGAAAAGCTTTATTTTGAAGGAAAACCCGGTTGTTTACATTACGTCACTTCCGGGTTCACGTTATCTTTGTTTTCAGCCGTTAGAATGGACCAAATAAAAAGTCATGAATGAGAATATGAGGAGAAAAGGCGTGTGGAGTTATACAACAAACACACAACGTCTAAATCCTCTGATTTGATGCGAAATAAATCCAGAGGAACGAAGCCGGGTGGAAGACCCGCCCATCGTCAAAGCAGCCAATGAGAAGAGGAGAAAGGAATCAGATATACACACGGTGCACGCGGTTCTATTTCGCCCTCTAAGGCTATCGCTATTGGGTAATCCCCCTGCGCACTGAAACACTTGTAGTCCACGCCCACCCGCAAGGTGGGCGCCACCCTCGGGCTCCCTTCCGGTATAAATAGGAAGGAGGCCCGACAATCTGCTCCCTCTTTTCTTCAGCAAACCACGTTACTGAAGCACAGAGACATTTCAATTACAGAGTCAACCATGAGCAACAACTGTGTTCGAGATTGTCCCTCATGTGGCTAAGGATACATCATGAGCTACGACCAACACGCAATGTGCGAATCCTGCCTGGGGCCAGAGCACGCGTACGCGGCTCTCAGCCAGCAGGTCGCATGCTCACACTGTGCCCGTCTCCCCTCGGCCGACAGGAAGCGAAGAGCGGACGCTCTCGCTGCTGCGACCGAGGAGGACGATTGGCCCGTCCAGGCTTTCGAGCACGTGGACGGCAGCATGTCCCTGGAGCCGAGTGCCGGGCAGGAGTCGGACGACTCCTACCCCGTCTCCCTCCACGGTTCTAGGTGGCATCATGGTGGAACTGCCGGAGATCATCTGCAAGGCGGCCGCCTGCAGAGGTCTCCCCGTTCCCCTAGGTCGGGAGAGGTGTGCTCTGGACGACATGGCCGGAGTTTTTTCCCGGGTGCAGACGGTCAGGAGTGATCCGGTCTGGCCGCGCTTCAGGAGGTATCAGGAGGGGGCGGCGGCAAACCCAAGGACCCTGAGGGCTCCGGTGTACACATTTGTTCCCTTCACCAAGGTGGAGGGGTTCACAGATGATGGTTTCCCAACCACCCTTTCTCTGGAGCCGAGCCTGACGGCGTTCTTTGGGGTTAGACAGGCCAACATGATCGCCGGACGGCGCCCTATGTTGGCCTCCACCAGGGACCAGTATGTCGCCCGCCAGGCTGACCGGGCGCATCAGTGTGCTTTTCAGGCGTCGGCGAACAACATCGCGTTGCTCTCCAACTCGGTGGTGACGCTGATGGAGCGGTCCACCACCTTGGCTGCGGATGAGGCGGAGGAGATCAGCAAGGCGGCCAGCACGGCGCTCACGATGTGCGCGTCCGTTGCTGTCTCCCAGGCAAGGATCGCTGCGTGGATGACGCCGATTCAGCGCCACCTCTGGCTGCAGCAGGCGTCTGTCACAGAGCCGGCCATGAAGGTATTACTGGACGCTCCGATCAGCCCAGACGGGCTGTTCGGACCCCAGTTCCTCTCCATGGAGGAGTCCATGAAGGCGGCTGCGGAACAGGCGGACGACATCCGCCAGCACGTTAGCTGGCTCCAGCCTGCGGGTGCATGTGCGCCCGCTCTCAGTGTTTCTCAGAGTGGCAGTGCGTGTGTCTGATGGACAGATGGATGAGCAGGCTGATCAGCAGAGGGTACACCCTGCAGTTCGCCTCCCCCCCACAGTTCAATGGGATACAGGAAACACTCCTGTCATCCCAGGAACAGTGTCTTGCGCTCCAGTCAGAGCTGCGGGAACTCCTGTTGAAAGAGGCTATTTCCAGGGTTCCTCAAGGGAAAAAAAATCAGGGCCATTACTATATTTGCTTGTCCCGAAAAAGACAGGGGGAATGCGACCCATCCTCGATCTGTCAGCTTTCAACGAGGCAATAATGAAAAGGCCTTTTCACATGCTGACGATCAAACAGGTGCTAGAGTGTGTTCACCAGGGAGACTGGTTCACCTCTATAGACCTAAAGGATGCATACTTCCACGTA